TTGTCATCGTCGTCGTCTTGCTACAATCATTTTTCTCCTTCACAAAAATGCCTCGAATGGGCGAACTTCCAGAACCAGTCATGGATAAGTCGGATATGCAACGTAGCGTCGATTCTCTTCGCAGTCAGCTCAACATCGAACGAACACCGATTAGCCAAAGTGCAACAGAGTTAGTGAACTTCTTTTATATGAGTTGCTGGGTAAACAAATGTTTTAAGTGCGACAGATTCTTTTCTCAATAACAGGTTCTCAAAAACTCGTTTTAAAAGGTTAATTAGAAAATCTAAATCTTTGACAATATGTAATCATTCGCTTTTGAAATATTAGAGGCTTCTAATCTCAGCGAAGAGAAAAAGGAATCTTCAAAGTTTTGAAGCAAGTTGCGAACTATCATCTTTCCCAAGATCTTAGAGAACATTACATTTCAGTCTATGCTTGTCTCAGAATGGTAAACTTTCTGCCATTCAGTAAATCATTAAACAGATCCCAAAACGCCTGTATTACCTATACTTTGTAGGTATAATCACCTCACACAACAGCCTTGTCAAAGAACAACATTTGTGATTATTCACTTTGTCGCTGCGATGAAACTTACCGAGGATTCAGCAAGAGTTAAAAAGAGCTCAAAACAAAACGTTCTTCAGAATACACTTTAAAAGGAAGACAGGTCTTTTTTGTTCTTAGGAGGGCGTCTTCTTTTGAATTTATCATCTTAATGAGTTTAAATCTACTCCGAAATAATACCTACTTCAGTGAAACGATAGCGCTCAGTTTTCTCAGGAGTGGGTAATCTCGTCTCTTAAACCATTGTTGTTTATTTTCCAAGAAAAATAAGCCCCAGACAAGCTAAGCTTGTAGTGGCTCTAATGGGCATGCATTCTCGTTTTGAGATGTGTCTAGTAACGAATTGAATGAATGAACGACGTCAGCCGTTTTTTGCATAACGACGGCATTTATTCATAATGAGAATTCACAAGAACGCATTTACGTGAGCGATAGAAAACAACATCACTTTGTTGAAATGGTTTTTTGAGCAAAACGCATAGTATTTAATGGCATGTTAAAAACTTACCAAATTCTCTTAAGTAAGTAGAGATAAAACATTTGCGAGAGGCAATATTTAAGTTCCTTTAGAGGCTTCTGTTTAGTACTGTATGTCTGGTATTTAAC